ATACGGTTTCGGCGTGTCGATAGTTCTCATCACTGACCTCCGTATCATTAAGCTTGTTTGCAAACGCCGATCTAGGTGGTAGACTAGTCTCTTCGAATACCGCATCTGATGTTATGTAATCGTAAGGATACGTTCCTTTCTTGGTAACTAGGTGAATGTTCTCTGGTGATACTAATTTTGCACTTTGTATCAGTTGTTCACGGGGCAGGTTCGACGACAGTTCATCCAAGCTTGCCGACATCATACGGTAAGAGTCAACAAAGCGAATCCAGATATCGCCCACTTTGACTAGAATCGCAATCATCTTTTCTTTATTTGAAGGAATTAAGCGAATGTCGTTTGTTTTCAGAACACTTAAATTACACATTATAAAAGACTGATCATAATTTGAAAGGTTGTGGATCCATACCGGAATGAAGTTTGGGGTTTTGCATCTGAGGTTGCAATTACTACACAGCGTATGTCTAAATTTGGATGTAAAATGATCATGATCAGCGCATTTTACTATATCGGTGTCGTTAAACTGTCTACTACAGAACTCACACTCTGTAGCTTCATCATGACGTTTACGTTCCTCTTCTGTCATTACTATAGGGTTTTCACATGAGTACACTTTAGAAATTTTCTCGGCCACTTCTTTTAGATGTAATAAAAATTTAGCTCCTGCATTTGGTCCACGATAGGTAAAGGGCTCTAAAGATATGCCATACTCGTCCAAAAGATGACTATCGTATGTAGATGAGATTACAGTCGAAAAACTATTAGCTTCATGTTTTTGATAAATCTTTCCATCGTAATCTTCATCTGTGGTGGTTACTGGATTTAAGCTGGCTTCAAAATCCGCACAAATATGAAAACCTATCTTTATCATTGTCTCTACTTGTTGAAATCTTAAAATATTGTTTCCAGGTGATGGTAAGTTAATCTTTGTGGGTTTGTGTTTACCACAAAGTGTCAAGTGTCAGCTTGTCAGCTATCGAAGTCATCTCTTCTATATGTCCTCTTTTCATAGTTTTCTTGCTACTGTCACTGCTAGCAGCTGCGTCACAATAGCTTGATGTCGTTGGGTCCAAGGTAGATGGTGCAGAGTAGTTCCTGGTCGACACACCGCCACCCTCTCGGTGTCGAAGCTCGTCGAAACAGCGTTCGGGGACGGTACGGTGCAGCGGGTCGGCTGTTCTGGAAGTAGCTCTAGCATCAAAGCGAGTTGATTGTTGTTCAGCATCTCGAAGGTGGGTGTCTGGGCTGATGTTGGGCTGTATGTAGAGATTAGCGAGTACCAGGCAGAGTTGCTGGTGTCTGTCCCGAGCAGCGCTTGTCAGGAAGAAGGCCTCGCGGCAGACAGGACACAGGTACATAGTCCATGCACACAGGCTGGAAGCGAGCTGGTGAACTGTGCCAAACAACTGAAAACCCTCTGCTTATAAAGGATTTACTCGTGGGGGAAAGGTGGTACGGTATAAATATGGGCTGTGTTAGCAAAGGAGTTTCACTGTTTGCCCACACTTCACTGAGTGATCAGTTCATCCTACACACCATCTAATACAGTAAGTAATTCTATTTTAAAATAACTTTAAAGCTTTATGTTTGACTTTTCTTTCAGATAGAAGGACGAGTTTTTCGGAGATGGAATTATTTTTTACAATATACAGCTTATTGTTTTCTTTTCTTTTAGTTTCTAAGATAACTTACTTTATTGTGATTATAATATTATGTGCTAGGATTGTGAGTTTACATTTTACTTGGGATAACTAGCTATAATAGCGTCACTAGCTATTAACCTTTTAATCATAGTCCACTATGTTTTGAGAATAGTCAAAGGTAATAGACATTTATAACCACCATAGAGCTGGATTATAGGATTTTATTTGTACATGGATAGTAATTTTAAGCATAAGCATGGACGAGTTACTCATTCAACTTTCTAGATAGTACTGTATGATAACTCAAATCAAATACTATACCTTGGATGCTTGTATTGATGTACTGTACATTTTATCACACATATATGCTTTTGATTTTATATATGTCATAAATCTTAATATGAGCATCTACGTCTGTTTTTATTAGTTTTTATTTATCTATACTGGTCATTAATAGTTGATGCTAATATTTCCAGTATGACTTTATACGTCTAAGGCATCGAACTAATCTATATCATAGTTCTTAGTTTAATAAATGTATTATACTTTGCTTTTATTTTCATGCTTAAACATGCTTTTTCTCTTGAAATTTTTAATAATAAGCACATGAGTACCGGTAGTAGATTATTATTGGTTTGATTTTACATGAGTAAAAAAACTTACTTGGTACTTCTTTTAAGCACTTGAGTTCTATTAATAGACTGATTCAAGTGAATTTTGTCTAATATTAGGTACAATACATTTGTAACTAGCGTTGATATAAATTTTGTATTTTATTTTCAGGGCTATATGCATGGATTGTTCACTATTCTTGTGTGTTTTGTCTTTGCTTACAAAGATATACTATTAGGAAACTTAGATATAATGCTTGTTTTGTCTACTCTTGTATTAAGCTGTATTTTAACTGAAGGTTTTATCATTTATCAAAGTAAATTTGATGGTACATTTATAGATGACTATAGTTTGCTTTCTGCTTTCATTCTTTATATATATTGTGTTTTAATATTTGTTCGGTTTTCTAATTTCAGCTAAAGGTTTAAGGTTTGTAAATATTAAGTTTTGGATTGTGGTCAGGTTTTATTGTACTGGTGATAATACAGTAGAACTTATTATCTGTTTAAGTATGTATAGATCTGGCTTTAGATATAAACGGTTTGTATTTTTTTTTCAGTAACTATGGCTTCACTCAGCAGCAAGTTGTTGTCACTACAACAGGTCCCCTCTCTACCAGTGGTATCGACAAAGGAGTTAAAGCACGAGGATGGATATGCCATCGTAGACACTAGAAGAGTGGAAACCCGTTTCGGCATTTCTGTCGTATGCGAGTTGGTAATGCCCGACCAAAGTCGGGCCATTACATACTTACCGTCTAGATTCCACCAGGAGCTGTCGGACGAGGATCTGGCAGAACTTAAAAACGGCTATAGATTGAGAGCGACAGGGATGAGTGGGAGGGCAGTGGATTTGTTAATTTATAAGAAGAAATAAGATAAATAAAACATTCTTTTACCGACAGAAAGTAATGGTTTTTTTCCCCTAAGTTTATTGTCACAAACCATGAATCAACCAGCTATTAGATAAGTACTAGTATCTAATACCACTATTTATTTACATTTATAGTTAAGATGTGAATATTAGGAATGGTCAGCAATAACCTTCAACGCTTGCAATTTTAGTGATATATGTTATTACCTGGTCCTGAATAATGTCCATGAATTGCAGTTCCTGATGCAAGTTGTTCCGTAATAGCCCCGAAAAACAGCTTTCACATTTTAGAAGGGAAAGAGTTGTGCATTGCACTGGTTGCTGTTGCATAAAAGGTTTCCAATTACTCGGTTTCGTTATCACAAAATAAGCTTATAATAGGATCTAAAATTGGTTCTCTAGAACATATTTAGCTAGAGGTTAAATCAAGAAAACACATCTTTCTTGGTTAATATTTAAGTTTAAGTAACCTCATAATATGTTAAGTTTGCTTTAAGTACATTTTATAATTCTATGATTGTTTTATAATTCTATGATTGTTTTATATTGGCTTTTACTTCAACTGTGTTTAAACGTTGAGATACATTTTTTCTACAATATAGAGCTTATATGTAGTTAAGGTAACCATAAAGATTCGCAAATAACATCAAGGCTTCAGCAAAGACCCCTATCATTCTTCCCAGTAACATTTTCAATTTACTTTCATTATAAACACAAGCCGACCCACTCATATGATTACTTGATCAGTGCATCATGTAATTTACTTTCATCTAACCAGCTCAATGGCATAATAGAGGCTCAGAGTAACCGGATTGAGCGAAGACTACTGAACCGGTCCTTGGCCACCGAGCCGCATCACGTGATATAACCAGGATGCCTCGTTGGGCAGGTCAGTTCTACAGCGCAAGGGATCACGTGATATTGTCAGGGTACCTCAACTAGCAAACCTTATTTGCAATTGTTACTTCTTAAGGGGTCATGTGATAACACCAGGATCTGTACTCTACTATTGTTCCCCATTCTTGGTTGGCGTAAGAGGGAGCGTCAGCATTAACAATGCGATTATCAAAAAACGCTACTCTCTCAGCCTCCCAAATACCATTAACTTTAAAATCAGCTTTTAAAGCAGGCACATTGTTTGCAGGGTCAGCTTCTCTCATAATAGGCTCGACTTCAACCCCTTTCCAGGCCATATTTGCTATCGCAGCACAGTGGTCTCGATGTTGATCATGCCCATGTTTGATCAATCCTCCTTTTTTACAATTTAATGCATGTGTTAGATTCATAGGTTGATCACAACCATCACATCGTACTGGTAAATTTCTTAGTGTGCGGCCATAGCGAATTGACAAAGCATCTCTGAATTGATCCGGGGACAAATCCGTATGATCAGATGCACATGGTGTCACAGTTAACCATTGGCTAGTATTCCCTGCTACAATATCTAAAGTATGTGTAGTATTTTAAAACCCTTAAAACTTAAAATGTCGTTTACACTTTACATATAAGGTTTACAAAATATAATACTGCACCATTATCACAAACTGGTTTGTTTAGAGTATGTTTAAATTAAATCTATGATTTAACATACCATATGATTCCTAAAATACTAATGTATTAAAAAGTGCAATCAGATCACTGCCACAAATCACAAGATTTATGGAAACCAACCTGTTAACATGATATTGTAAGACAAAATAGAGACGTGTCCACAGGTAAAAGGGAACTGTGTATCAGCGAGGAGCGATTACAAAGTCAAACAACAACAAACTCGGACAACGATAAAACCAGACACTTTTTAAAAGTGTCCAGAGTTGTCGTTGCACGGCACGACAAAGAAAGATATGATCATGTATTATCAAATATTTTTAGGACAAGATAGAGGAGGCGTTGGAGTTGATCCACGACGTGTCCACCGGCAACATGGGAACTCTGTGTGTCAGTGAGTCATACAGGACGTTGGCAGCTCATGTCAGCCCGACACGCTATGACTCAGCCAGACAAAAGGCTGACTTGGTGGCGATGCTGCTACAAGACTTGGGAATCGCTCATCATAATGGTAAGATACAATGCTTACTCAGTTGAATTTCAAGCCGATTAGACACAATTCAACTACTTTTTTACCAACTTGTTTCAGTTATTTGTTTTATATGTTGTTTGATCTGTTAAGGTCTGATGGATGCGGTGGGACGTACTCTGTTGCTCTCAGATCGACACATGTTGAGTACCAGAGTGCTGGCGCTGAACACCTCCACTGGCCACCTCAGTGCTGTCGTCATCTGGCGCAAGTCTACCCCCGACCCTGCGACACTCACTGGCGCTCACAGGTAAACCTCATTATCAGACTGTAGTAGTATTGGTCATAAATAAAGCATGGCACAATTACTGATTCTTTCATTACTTACAAATTGTTATCCAGTCATTTTTGTGTATTTGACCATTTGATGTTTGCCAAAAAAGGCCTAATATAGTTAATGTAACACCAATTGTTCTCTTTCCCCCTTAACTATGCCTTGAGGACAGCATTGCTTCAACTAGCTAACTCTGAGAGGCACTGCTATGGAAATTATGCTAAGGTGTTACTTAGAACAAATGTGAATGACCAGGTGCTGCTTCGAGAGGCATTTCTCCAAAGAGGACATAAAGTTAAGACAGTGGGGGGGAAATATCGTGTAAGGCGTGGCACAAATTTGAGAAACATTTCACAGGTAAGTAGGCCTACCGCTCTGAAAAACACAGCTTTAAAAGGCACTGCTCGGATGTTTTCAGAGTTTATATTTTTTAGAGCAATGCCCAATGCCCGAACCTACTATGCCCCTGGTATGGCACTTTTGTGTCGACACACAGTATATCTAGAATTTCCACTTACCATTTTTTGTTTTTTTTTTTGGCACACTTTACTATACTACTAAAGTAATGAAGAAAACATATTCTGGTTATAACAATGCCCTTAGACATAATTTACACAAGTTTTACTTCTTCAAAGAGAGATAAAAATAAAGAAATAACAGAATGAAAATATGTTCAATTTTTGTTGACATTTTGGGATATTTCAGCTGCTGCTTCCCAATTATAGTATCAGTCTCAAAATATAATTTGTATTTTTCTCAAAGATAGCTGAGTGATTTAAATGATTTATTTTGTTCTTTTTATCTTTGACTAGAACTACATTCCATCCCATTTTAAAGAAATTGCCAATTTTTTTTATCAAAATGGACGTAGTTGAAGAAGTGAGCCACCGACAGATTGTGCTGATATAAATTACTGATTTATGTTGAACATGCAGACCTTTTTAAAGTACAAGAGATGCTGATCAAATGACTTATTGTAAGGCGCCAACTATCTCAGAAACAAACAATAAGGTGGAAAATATAATCTTAGACACACTAGCGCATCCTGTGTCTGTCTCACCCAACTATGTTCTTTTTAAATAACAAATTGGTAGCAGCTGGTCCATATAGATGAGATGTATACTTCAGGTTAACTATTCAATGGTTTATCCATGCATTTTCTTTAATTGTGAATTTTTTTATACTTCTTTTATTCTTCATTTAAAAAGTATTAAATAAACTTTTCCCACAGGGTGACAGATGAGCAGTTAAGACCTGGAGGTCGCCCGGACGCCACCGCCCCGTGGTACGAGGACGCCCACTCCTCCCCCGCCCTACGGTCACCCAAGTTCATGACCAGTCCCGACGTGGTCAGCTACCGCGGCTGGTGGACGTTCCCTTACTACTCGTGCTACCATCACCTGTGGATCATGTCTTACACTGTGGTCGTTCCACCGTCGCCCAAGCATGAGCACGGGTATGTATCATCTTTGATGGAAGTAGATACCTCATTAGCAAATGGAGCTTTAGTGATTCAAGCCACTGACAGATTGCCCTAATGTCAATAATTACTCAATTATCAATTATTTAAGATGGGGATGCCACTATGTGCGTATTGTAACCCAAATATGAGTGTAGGATAAGTGGTGCGATCTTGTAGTCTTGTTAGTGACTAAGGCCGACATGTTCCTTAGACACAGCTGTTAATTAATAGCCCATACAGCTAAAGGCAACTAAGGGACCTACAGTTTATAGTGGAATCCGAACCACATTTTTTCCTTGTAATTTACGAATTGGTATAATTATCAGGATAGTACTGCGGATAGTTGTAGCACTCACTAGTGCGGACGTTAATCCACACCAGGGAGCATCGCATCCACAGTGCATCCCTATAAATATTTGTTAGAAAAAATTAATTTTTTTCTTTGGCTATTGATTTAACTAGCCGTTCCCCGTGCCGTACCCATGTTTAACTTTTTTTAATGTACTTAGTTGAAGTGAGCCACTGGGAGATTGCGCTGATGTAAGTTACTGAGCTTTGTCGCATATGCGGAATTTTTGACGAAGTTAAACTTATAGGACAACTTTTTTAGCTAAGACAACTAAAACAAATAAGCTAGAAAATACAATTATATACACTAAGGAGATCCGTGTCTGGCTCACTTAATTAGGGTTTTTTATGAAAAATTGCTGGTCTATATCGTTAGGATGTCTTCGTCAGCATACTGTAATAAATTTAATGGTTCTTTGCAGTTGTTGTAATCACAAAGGTAACGTTACATTGACAAGGTTACATTGTAACATGCAGCTGTACCCATCATGCGAGTCTATTGTAGAGTCATGTTGATCGGACGAGTTATCTGCCTAGTGCCACTGTCCAATATGCTTTTTTTTCTTGAAGAATCCAACAATCCAAAATGTGTACCATCAATGAGGTTTGGTCCCATTTTATCCAGATAATAGGAGTTCTACCGTACCTATTTCTTTCAAGTACGGTATGCTAACTTTATAACCAACCCAAATATAGAATCAGAGTTCGTAAAATTGTTTCAGACTTGATATTTCAGTGTAAATTCTTTTTGCTATCAGTCTTTACAACACTGATGATTGTGGTGTTTTTGACAGGATCAAGGGTCTGGTCAGTTTTGACGTCGACGTCTCCAGCCTGGAGGTCAATCAATGTGACCACGGCCACGACAGCAAACAAGTTCACTTCTTCAGAGGATCACATAAGTGCCATAACACTACCCAGGTGTGTAAAAAGCCATTAATAAGTGGTCCTGGCCACTGAGATCGACACAACAGGAGTTAGAACTTAATCAGAGAATTGAGAAACGCAGCCGCCTTTGTACTAGGTATATAGTACAGGGACATTGTAACAAACGTTGGAACGATTGGAATTTGCTTCACATCGCGGCCTACGTGCATCATCTATTTTTCTTAAGTGGTGGTAAACTTTTTATTGATAAGTGTTGAAAATGTGTTTCAATTACCTTTAAATATAATTATCACTTTTAATTGAAACACATACTGTCATTGCCTCATCTCACCGCGTAACTACAATATTTCTCTTTCTTGTAGTGCTTATGCTTCTCCTGTCCCAGTGCAGGCTTACAAAGGACTTTTTATTCAGTTTTAACGATTAAACTATCTTCTCCCTTCCCTTCCATCACTACTACTACACGAAAACCCCTTCGTACTACAAAAAATCAAACTCAACTGTTTCAAATGGAGACGAGCCGCCCCGTGCCGTGCCGCTCTCTGTGTGTTCCTTTGGATTACAAAGCATTTATTTGTTTTTGTTGCGTCATGACGCACGCCGCGACGCGCCGTGCCGCGTCCTGTGTGTACCCTTACTTTCATCACAACGGGAACTAATTGACTGCCAGTGTCAGGAGTGTGGATAGACATGGGACGTGGGTTCCCTCGAATCGTACCTGTGATTGCCTTTTTTTCTTCTGTACTAATTTAAAATTAACTAATTCGCCAAACAATAATGAGTACCGGTACTTATAAAAAATTTTAATTTATATTTCTCGAATTTAGTAAGGAAATAAACTGTGAGTATATTCCCAACCCTAATATACAATTTTTGGACAATCATAATTACTTAGTCCTTTAGTGTTTTCATTTTTACTAAAATACTGTCGAAAAGATGCAAATTTACATATTTATACGAGATTACAGTATGTTAATTGATATAGATAACATAATTATCATCTATTAAGTGTGTAGAAAAATCTTGTTTAAGGTAAAAACCATTGTTACAATGGAAACAACTGGTCAAGGTCTTTATAAAATAAGTATTTATAAAATTAATATAAATGTTAATATTATAACAAATTTAGATTTTAAAGTTTTGCGCAATATTAACAACAACTTCAGATGTTTAATCAATATTCAATTATGCTGCTGCTTTGCCATCAATGTCAGTGTTATCAAAATCTCATCAATCTTTAAATTCCTCCAATATTTTTATTTTCATGTTTTTTAAATGGATATTGATGGTACTATAACTAACTCAGCAATCGTTTCTTTTTCAATCATGTACCTACTTTGAATTTGTTTGTTTGATTGAATTTTGTTAGTTTAGATATCTTCATTTTTTTATACATAAATATATTTTAAAATGTCATTTTTTCATATAAGTATTTTATAATAAAAGTCAATACCACAAAATATGAATATAAACTAGATAAACAAAGTAACATTTTCATTAACACTTCTTGATTTGTGAAACAAAACACATAAGTGCAAGCCTTAAATTACCATAAATACATACTTTCATTAGTTAGGTGGTACTAAAAGTATTGCATCACCTCAATTTCATAAATGTTAGCAAACCGAAGAGAGCTTAGTTTTCAAAAAAGTTCTCTTCATAGGTAGTTAGCATTAAGAGCGGGCTAATAAATTGTTGTGGTGTAAATCACAGTTTACTTGCTTTCAATTTAGTGTAAAGAACGAGTAATTTTATCGATTTGTTTTAACAATGTGTCAGGAGAATTAGAATATTGTACTTAACTTAACCTACTTTGTTTCAGCAAGTTTTAATGGAATAGACTCTCTGTCTATGTCTATGTTCAGCGGAAATGGTCTGGTGAGATTCAGGCTCATGTGGCTAAATCTCTTGAATACAATGTTTTATACAAATATACTACAATTTATCAGACAAATTGCATGTGTTTTTCTCTTAATTCATTCATCATCAGTTCATCCCTTAAGTCTTAATCATTATTATAGTCCCTTCACAAAATTTAGACCGTCAAAGGGGAAGTTCCCCCACTACTTTTTTGCTCAATGTAGGCTATATGTTGAAGCTGATTTGCATTTTGGAAAACCACAACAGTTGAGCTAACTATTATATTAAAGGAAGGTCAAGTGGAGGGGATAAATTTCTTCCCAACCGCAGAAATTTTGTGAACGGAGTAAATATTCAATGAACTTTTGCATATAGAATTTTGATGAACCATGGAAAAACAATACAATTAATTATGTTACTCTTCCAGCCATTTCTTATGGAGTATGTGTTAGATTACTTATACCGTTTATTTGAAATTATAAGCTCGATGTGTGTATGTGTTTGCAGTGTATCTACTTCCGTAAGGTTGGTGGTGGGGGTGGCTGGCAGAGGGGTAACTACATGTGTAAGTGTAAACCTGGTTTCTACTCACGCCACACAGAGTTCAATGGCACACTCGTCGAAGGTGAGTTCTCTTCATTTTCAACAATTGATACTTCAACATATGATATTTCTTTCCCTAATGCAGCGTATGGCGTGGTGAAGCAAGCGATAGGTGAAGGGTCTACCCTGTTTAACCTGGGTATAAGCACAGACAATAAGTACGTTTCAATATTGAGATTATTATTTCAAACAATAGCCATTTGTGTATTGAGCGCAAAGTATGTCATTGCCGCTCGAGAACTGTAGATGGCCATACATTTTGAGAGCGGCAATGGCTGTTTGTGCTCGTAATACACACAAGATTTTTCCTGCTGCCATAGTTAAATTATTATAAAACAGAGCTTTACAATTTAGCGGTACAGTAAATATCATGTGGCTTATTTTATTGCATAGAGATATTCACCGGAAAGTGTGTTATGGAGCGCCAAGAATTTGAAATCAGCTGATTTAGCGAGCTGTAATGAATAGGGCTATTTTGCTCACTGTTAACTGGTGTGGCAATGTGCATTTCCTTGCAGTGGTCAAAAATATGTTTGTGTATCATGTTAGTGTAATTCAAACAACATTTACACTTAATATTTTGAAATAAAAACAAAATGAAAAAAAATTACGCTGATGGCAATAAGAACAATTCTCAAATCAAAAAGCAAGTGGAATATGGCATCTTTCGAGTATTGGGCAAGCATTTATTCACAAATTGTGTTTACAACTTTAATTAATTATAAGATTACAAAATTAGGTAGACTATCATACTTAGATAACTTACAGAACTACCAACTAAGAATAAATTGTAGTATTTCACAAGTTTGTGATTAACATGTTAAAATTGTATTTCAGCTGCCTGGGCTGAAAAGTACGGTAATGGTAGTACAAGCGGGGTTTACGATGAGAGGTATAGATGTCGTAAATGTGCCCCCGGCTGTTCTACTTGCACCGGCCCAAAACCTTGTCTCGCACACTACAACTGGCCGTTCAGGTACTTCTTTCTAAATAAAACTCTTTCAAGTAACTAGTCAGATTTTCTAAGAAATCCATCCATAATAATTATTAATGTAGACTACACACTCGATACGGTATCTTGTAATATAATTTGCTAGATTACACCATTTAATACTACAAAATAATTTAAGTCCATTCACAAAACTTAGGCAGTTTGAGGGAAATCTCCCCCGCCACTTTTTTCTGCTTGGCAGCTGATTGACGTTTTGATAATTCTCAGCTGTTAAGCAAATGGTAAATGGTTTAATGGTAGGATCAAGACGTGGAGGGGATAGATTTCTTCCCCTAAAACAGCCTAAATTTTGTCAACGGAGTATAGTCTTTTTAGTTCATTAATTGTTTTATTGGAAATTTATTTGTCTCAATTTAATACAAATTTCTAGATTAGCAGTTAACTTAATTCAATTAATTGTTTTCAACTATTTTTACCATCACTATTTTGTAACTGAAGTAAATTATTTTGAAATACATTTTTCATAAGTTATTTGGATTTGATAAATATACAGGTTCATTCAAAATAGATCCAAGCTTAGCTATATTTGAATTTCAGCTCTAAAATTTAGAAGAGGTCAAAAAACCTGCTAGAAGTAAAAAGCATGTGTTTGTTTTAGTTTAAAGTTTTTTTGTAATTCTATTTAAATCACAAATAGTCAAGCAATGTTACCCACATTTTACACTTTGCACTTACAGTACACGAATGGCCTGTTTCATTACATACACTCTCACAATATAAGGTGTTCGCACAGTCCTGTTGTTTCTATGCAATATGTTTTGTCTTATCGATTTAGATGTGTTGTTGGATGGTTTTTGTGTTGTTTCACTCACTGATTTGTTCCTTTTCCAGAATCACCTTGTTATGTATCTCACTGAGTTGCGTCTTTTTCACTCTGGGACTCATTTTGTATGTTTATAACCACAGAAAACTCAAAGTTTTCAAAGTTGCGAGTCCTATTTTCCTAAGCATTACTCTACTGGGATGTGCCATCATGTATTTAGAGGTAAAAACATTCATTTTCTATTAAATTTAGTTATTTGTTTTCTGTTTGTTTTTATGTTCTTTACATTTTGTTAATATGGAAAGAAAAGTGTTAATAGCAACCTATTTATATTTTATTTTGTTCACAAAATGTTGGTGGTTTTAGGGGAAGAAAACTACCCCCACATGGTCTCCACATGATCTTACCTTTAAACCAATACAGTATGTCTCCAAAACATCACCTGCAACACTTTCGCTCATAATCTGGATATAAGCAAGAATGTGACTACTGTATTATTTTTCTTTAAGTCATATGTTCATGTTTCTGTACTGATTGACTTTGAGTTTTTCCTTAATTAAATTAAACACTATAGTTCGGCCGCTTAGAAAGCGACCTCCTCCAGCATTGGTTTAACATTAGCGCGCAGGTCGTTTTCTAAGCGGCCGAACTATAGTTTCCTATTCTGTTAGAATTTATTTTTATATTTATGTTTTAGAGATAATTCCACGATAAAAATTCTCTCCCCTTTATACTACTAAGCAAAAAAGTGGGGGGGGGCTTCCCCTCAAACCACCTTAATGTGAACAGACTTTAGTTAATAATTGATAATTCTTGAGGGTTTTGATTCACATTCTTCTCTGTGGACCATTTTAATCCTACTGTATATGGTTTATTTGAGCATGATAAACTTATATCAAAAAGAGTTATTAGTCATCAGTTGTCATACAAAGTGACAATCCTTTTAAACATAATCTTTAAACGGATATTGCATTATTGGTTTAGCCTCAGCACCAGTATTGAACCCTATTAAACCCCTATTTTTATTGCAACAAGTTTTCAGTATTAACAAATTAATAAATCCTTAAAAAGTGTATGCTTTATAGGTTGGCCTTCAAAATTTATAAAATAACTTTACATTTTCAGATGGCAGCAATCTTTCCAATTTTGGATATCTACTCGTGCATCGCCACAAAATGGTGTCGACATTTGGGGTTCTGTGTCACCTATACAGCATTGCTTATGAAAACATGGAGGTATTCCAGCAATTGTGTAACATATTTCTTCATCAATGTAAAATATAATCAAATGAAAAAAAACAAATATAATCAATCATAATCATTGTCATTACTTAATGACAGCAAAATGTGTGCATATTATTATTATCTGAATATAAATAGAAGATGAGTGTGCAATATAATGAAGAGATGACTTGTAGCTTTGTTACTGACTATGATCAGCTGTTTCTTTTCCTAAGACCACTTATTAAAAGCCCAATGATCAAGGACAGCTGGGTTCAGTTAAGAACCATCAAAAAGCCACTGACTTGTATCATGCTTGAATTAGCAACTTTTTTATCCTCAGCACTATGACCACTCAACTACCCAGTTCCAATCAACGAAATAAGATGTCTATGGATGGCTATTTCAAAATGTAATAAAACATGTGCAATAATGTAGAATCATTTCACAATTTTTACCCTCGAGAAATCTGATAGATTGCTTGGATAGAATGTATTTTACTATGAAATTGTGTGCTACATAGGTTAACTTTTTATAAGCAATGAAAGAAAATAAGATAAGCGTTTAACTCCTCATTAAAGTGTTTATAATTGAACTATAATAATTTTTCACCTTGCACACCTAAAATAAAATCCTACACCGCCCCACTCGCCCTCATGTACTACAACGTTCATGGTATCGGAAGACCCTGCGCCTTGTGCAATGGGAATTTCAGCACAGTGCTCACCGCTCAGGCTCTTCCTTGCTTGTCACAATTATATTTCCAGCACAACATACTAAAGCTGAAATTGCACAATCGTCCATAAGCAATTTTCCTCTGCAACTTCTCTGTGGTACTACATAATTGGCATGATAGTGGTGAAGGATTAGTCAGTGAGCTCCTAAGGAATTTGTGAGTACTAGAAAATAAGCCGATTTTATACCTATTATTTTTGCAGAGTTTCACTGACCTACAGAGTAAAGTCTGCACACAAAGTTAAGCTAACGGATAAGCAGCTGCTGCAATGGATGTTCCCAATCCTACTGGTCATGCTTATCTATCTCAGGTAAGAGACTTTGTTTACAACATTTTACATATTGGTACAACAAATTGGATGTAATTTATTCCTTCTTGTGCCTGGAAACTTGTGCTTATCAGACTAGGAACCAAAGTGATTTCCAGTTTTTCATAAATTAGGTTCCTTTGAAAAGTTGCCTCAGTATTTTGGAAAAAAGCATATAATAAGTTACCAAACAGGATAAAGAAAATTGATGGATGGTCATAGGTTTTAAAGAAGTTCAGTCCCTGGTGCTAAACAAAGTATATTACAGTATTGTATAAATGATGTTGTTTGTGACTCTTTGTAATATGATGTAAATACGTATATCAAATTAAGGCATTCGATTAGGTTATTTGCCAAAATAATTGTATGATGTACCGTATATATATATTTTTTTTTTTAGTTTTTAAGATGTTGACATGTCACCTGTTTTACCAGCTGGCGAGGAAAATATATTGTGACATATAAATAACCTAAATCTGAATCTGAAACTGATATTACCATCATACCCTACACAGAACAGAACTGGAATTTAACTCATCCAATTGAATTGTATGTTGACCATTTGGATTGATTACTGCAACAATCAATTTCATTGTTATCTCATTGTTACCAGCTTTAATTACACTATGTTGAACTGAGCCTGAGCTACCAACAAGAAAATCCAGTAAAGCACTGTTTTCTGTTTATACAACTTAGTCATGATACTAAAAAGGAAAAGATAATTGAATGTAAACCATTTACAACAGAAGCATACTCTGAAACAAGCTTGAATCAATTGAATTTTCTCTGAACAAAAACTTCCTATAGTTGGCCCAAAGACTGACTGTTTCATTCAGATGTTTGAATTGAAGCTTTCAAATGGAGGAATTAAAGTGGAAATATTGACTCAGTCAAAAGTGCAACTTAAAGTGTGACCCGCCAGTCAGCGATGATGTGGGTTCACCTCTTGAAATTTATCAGTATTATACACAGTTATTTTTCACTATAATATACTTGTACTCCTTCCTGTGCTTTTTTATGTACCGGTACCGTTCATAGTCCTGAACCTCATGTGGATAGGTGAAATTCAATGGAGAGACCCATCACCCTCTTGAAAAAATACATTAAAACTATGACCAAAATTTACGACCCAAATAGGAAAGTAGCACACAAAACATAACAAATTCTTCAAGATATAATATCTAGCCTTCTATTCACTAAGTATAATTTGTAACTTTCTTACTTGCAGCACATGGACCATAAGTGCTCCACCCAAAGGAGAGGAGATTTATGACAGTCACGGACTAAGGTTCAAGCAGTGCACCTTTAATTGGTGGGATCACAGTTTGGCCATAGGTGAGTTTATAGCTAAAGTAGGTCATAATGTATCATCATCATGAAGTAGGAAGTAGGAAGTAAACTGGATGAAGCTGTTTAAAATGTATTTGAGCTATGTTGCCGAATCTCTATTGTTACAATCTAGGTGTTATAGCATAGACTAACCAACACAAGTAGACTTGTCATCCCATTGTAAATTTTGAAGCACGTTTTTCGTGTCTAGTTCATGTACGGGGACACTGAGCGCTAGTGTCGAAAAAATTTGGTTTCTTTTATTTTAGGGTTAATTTCTTGATTCGTGCTTTACTGTTTGGTTATATAACTAGGAGACAAGTTATTGTTTATGATTAGATCGTATTATTTGGTTAAACGAGGTTTTAAATGACTGTAATAACGGGAAACAAATTGTAAACAAAACAAGACCTCTACATAAACCGTACAGAACTAACAATAAAATTGTCTTCAGCTGTTCCAAAAGGATGAGAAATCTACTGGGGGAGTATGTTTTATCTATGGTTATAGACAGCTACTGTTGGGATTTATTTTTTTCTACTAGACAATTTTGCTGTGGTTTTAAAAAAAAAAAGTTGAATTCATTTTCTTGTTTGCCTATACTTGATTCAGTTTATATGGTTAAAAAGGAATTAAATGCTTGTTAGAGCAAGATGTGTGAACTCGTGAAGTAATTCTGGTGTAGAAACGTAACTTAATTACTTATCTGCATAGGGGACCCAGGCATCTAAAGGAAGGTTACCAAAAGATTTTGGGTATAAACAGCTTTAACAAATCAAATTTGTCGTGTGTTTTCTTCTGCCCCAACACAAAGAAAAGAGACGGAAGCATATTTTGTAGGGAATCTAGTCCAAATTTGTCATGTCACTAGTTTCCCACAAATTAAACAAATCTCTTTTTCAACAAAACCCTGAAAGCTTTAACTACTAGACTATCAGAAAACCTCTTTGAAAATTGTATTTAGTTTATTTTATTTTTGTTGCTCTGCATGTGTCTAGGGGAGGTACTGTTCCTGGCGTGGGGTATCAGAGTCTGCTACAACGTGAGACACGCAGAGTCCCTGTACAACGAGGCTCGACTCATCACCATCGCCATCTACAACATCGCTGGTGTCAACATCGCAATGGTGGCTTTCCAGTGAGTTCCTACCAGTTGTCTAAAAGGTGTTTAGTAATGCAGTCGGAAGTACTTGGAGAGTGGAACATTTTTTTCAAACCCTACGTCTAAATTTTGCAAATCACTAATGGATTTTAGCGTTTTAGATGAGATTATGACATTCCTGGTGGTTCGCAGAGCACCTCATGTTGTAGGTCCTTCTATGACAAAAACAAAATAAAGAATTTTTTTTTTAATTAATAATTTTCTGTGTACCACTGAAAGCACAAAAAAACTAAGAAATGTTAGTTTGAGTTTTGTAGTGTTTGTTTTTTATTAGCCTATTATATATGTGTATTACGTTTGAAGTAGTGTCAAAAGTGATTTGTCATTGGTAACATCTATTAAAACAGTAATCATAAAACATATAACTGGAAATTTTTAATATTTCCGAGGTACCATACTTTTATTGTATTAGATGTATGGTTGATTTGTATTGCAGATATTCTTTCAGCATCACATTATAAAGCGACAAACACATACTGTATAATATAAAGTACTGTCTTGTGTCTATTGTTGTCCACAAAACAGATATTTGAACGTAGCTTTACTTTCCCAGTTTGTTCCTGTTCCCACAAGCTGGGCCTGACATCAAGTATTTTCTTGGTTTCATCAGGACTCAACTTAGCACGTCAGTCACCATTGCTCTTGTCTTTGGACCTAAGGTATCTCTATTTCATTATACAAATTAGCACATAGAAGTAAGGTGCAGAGGAAACACTTAAGTGGTGTTTAGGGCAAAGTTTATTACTGACCACCCTCACCCTGTACTACAACGCTCACATTGGAGGAAAACCTGCGCCCTGTGCGATAGATACTTCCGTACAATGCTCGCGGCTCGGGCTCTTCCTTGCTCGCATGTATATTTCCAGCACAACATACTAAAGCTAAAAGCACACAGCTATCCCATGAGAGGGTATCCTTTGTGCCATTCTTTATTGTGGTTTTAGCAAAACAATTTTGATATACATCAAAATTACAAGGCCAACACATTAAATCAACACTTCTATGACATAAGAGTAAGTCTGGGACGCTTACATAATTTTGGACCACTATACTTTTAGATCACTAGACTTTTACACTTATTTATCAGAAAATGTAAATAAATATTGAAGTTTTTACCTTCCGGCATTCCAATTTCGCTGTAGTTTGCGAAGCATTTCGTCACAGTGACATCATCAGGCATCCACTAAAGCTTCTTCATGAAAATTAAAATAAAACAGTCATCACACACAACAAATTTACATAAAATCTTTTTTCATATTCATGACGAAGCTTTAGGGTATGCCTGATAAACTGACTGACTGTGTTGACGTGTCTCAAACTACCTACAGCAAAATTTGAACAGAAGGTAAGAAAATCAACACATTTATTATTATTTGACGCTCAGTAGTAGGAAATGAATTCTACAAAAACATAAATCTAGTCCTAATGTATATTTTGCTTTTTTATTAGTGTTTAATGAAATGTACAACCCAGTCATAGAGATTCTGCTTTTGAGACATTGCTCCATAGAAATTTTAACTGTGTAATCTTTAAACATTTCTGAATAAGGAAAACTTGGCAGAATACCACCAATCACAAATATATTTTATGTGAAAATGTGCATATACAGTACTTTTTCTGAGGACAGTGAGAACTTAGCTACGGTAACTGTCTAAAATAACTGCTTGGAGCAGCAGCATGATAAAAACTGACGAATAGTGCATATTTAAATATATACAGCAATAGACATGGCATGTGAATTGGATCGTTCAAGTTCTACTTGTTTCAACAGTTTTGATGGAGTCTTAAATGACATAGACAATAGACAATATAAAAACAAAATAATTCTTTATTCCTTCAACAATATACACATATTGTAATAGACATCGTCAAACTTAACAAGCAATAACAAAATATCAAGGCAACAAATATATTTGTTCTGTCAAAAGATACATATAATACATAAATAAATGTCACAAAAATACAATATCTAATCTGTCTACAATAAGGTCATCTTAACTATGCAACAAAAACTCATATTTCATAAATTCATCTATGTCATAAAAAGGATTTTTTACTAGCCAGGAATACAATACTTTTGCAAATTTTCTTTCTGATAAATTCAGCCAGGCTTTTGGTAACTTGTTAAAGAACTTAAGACCTAAATAACTATGGTAACTCTTTGTTTTGGTTAATCTACATTTTGGTAACTGTAGGAGATGTCTATCTCTTGTTTCATAGTCATGGAATATGGCTCTTTTAGGCAACGATGGATAGTTTTTCTTTACCAACATCAGAACATCATATATATAAAGATTAACAAAGGTTAAAACATTAGCTTCTACAAATAATGGTCGACAATGTTCTGACGGTTTAGCATTCATTATTATTCTAATTGCTTTTTTTTTTTGTAAGATTAAAATTCTCTCCATGCCTATACCATTTCCCCAAACTGTCAGACCATATCTTAAAATACTTTCAAAAAAGGAAAAATAAGACATCCTTAAACACACCTTAGTTACTTGTCTTTTTAAATTAATCAGTAAATATATTATTCTACATAACCTTTTACAAACAATATCAATCTGATTTTTCCATGAAAGACTAGCATCAATACTTATACCTAACAATGTTACAGCCTTATTTACATCATATAAATTACCTTTTTTTAAAGAAACTATCAAATTTTGTGTTTTTCCTTCATTTAAAAACAAACCATTAGCTTCAAACCAACTCTTTGCATCCAGAAGGGCTTCTTCTGACAAATATTCCAGGTGCTCTATACAATTACTTACATTCAGAAGGGAAGTATCGTCTGCATATATTGTAGTAAAACTAAAATTGTTAAAACTAAAATCATTTATCAAAATTATAAAAAGTATTGGCCCCAATAAAGATCCCTGTGGTACACCTGATAAAACATCTAAGATCTGGGAACAAACACCTCCTACATCTACGATCTGCTTTCTATGTCTCAAATATGACTCAAACAATTTCAACTCTTTACCTATATGGTAGCATGGTCAACTTAAGTTCACATGTTGATTATGTTGAGCCATTATTTTGTCATATCTCACAATTCTGGGGCTATAAAAATAAATTAGAATAAAACCTGAATTATGAAAGCATTTTTTCGGTGGACTATTTGCTAAAAAGTCGGTCCTGTAGTTTTGTTGTGGGTATTAAAATATCATTACACATTATTTTAATGTGTATGCCTTTGCTGGTTGAATGTTGCTATACTTCTTTAATAAGTTGAAACGTCCCCTCCCCCTAGGTGCTAAGAGTTCTACGAGGCCAGGGCGACCAATGGGATAACAGGGCAAGAGCTCGGGGCGTCACAGCCTCCTTCTCTCTAAATGGGATCGGGCTTGTGCCAGATGAAGCTCCAGATCTCTTCCAAGAGAATGAAGAGTTGAAGGTAATCTTGATGACTTTGATTTAGTACCATTATTTGCTCTCAATAATTGAGGCCAATTATTGGCCTCAATCTCATGACTGTAAAATAATGTCAGGTGACCAGTTTATATATATTGTGTAAAAAAAGAAAGTTGTTATTGAATTGTTGTTATTGTTTCTACAAAGCTTAGGTTTTGTCTATTTTGAGATTGAAGTTCAGTCGTTTCAAAAAATGCTGCACAGGATTTCTCAAATAAAAATTCTGAAGCAAAAGGAGACTGACTCTACCTACCCATCAGTACTAAAACTGAAAATGAAATTTAGTTGTTTGTATGGCTTTAGTTTACTATAAATAGTTCATCTCAATGGTTTAATTAATGTAGCATACATTATTCGTAAACAAATTTATTCAACTTCATGTTCAATTAGGTGAGTCTGTGGCTCAGTCGGTAGCGTCACGGTCTTCGGACCCAAGGCAGCTATGTCAAGGGTTCGGATCCTGGTCACTGCCGAAAACATTTTATCAGTACAGTTTACCTTTGTACTGTACCGGCTCACCCCTTGCTTTGCTGGATACGTTCCATGCACAGATCTAAAGTCTATGTGGGCAGGCAAAAGCAAGGTTAAAAGAGGCCGCCAACCTCTTTTTAAAAGAAAGAAAAGAAGAAAGAGAATTTTTGTAGGCTATGACAGAGATTGTTAAAGTGTCAATCTGCCCACGTTCCTTCTATAACTCATATCAAAATATTTTTAGCGGTGTGTACATTAAAAGAACACTTTATACACATACATAACATGTACATACATTTCAATCATTCGATAGACAAGTCGTAACAAGTTAAAAGTTTTTCCCTACCACAAGTTTAAACACAACTACCATTATTCCTCATTTTACACTTTTTTTCTGAAAATCTCAAAGCTGTATTTTTTTGGGTTCGGCATTGTAACTGTCTTAGGAGAAAATATTGTTGTCTATATAGTTTCGTTTTGATTTACACGTAAATGGTTTTGCAGGAAGAAATCCAGAAGTTAGCAGGACAGATGGAGTTCATGAAGATCGTTCATATGGAGATGAACAACCGTCACCTGAAGATGAAACCCGGAGGATACTTTAGTTCGGGCAACACCGTCGTACTGCAGAGTCCCGTCAGTCGGACCTCCGCGGGGTTTGTCCTCGGTAAAAGTTTCAGCACTACAGAAGAGCCCGATGAGAGGGTATGACTAGTCTTCACGAGCCGTGAAGTTTGGTTGTGATATTAACTTCTCTGTGATTATCTACATAGTGTTACGTTTTGTTACCACAGCTGTTTTATAGACTCGTCGTTGTTACATGTCATGTGTTCAGAGTATTTTTGTGTTACTCAAGCCGAAATCTTGGGAGTTTCCCACGCTTAAGTGTCCTCTAACTTTTTTGATATCGGGAATGGTCGACAATATTGAGGCAGTGAAACGGAAATGTGTCGCTTATGATATTTTGTGAGGGTGGAATTTACAGGTGCTGTGGATTAGGGTTTTTCTCCACACTAAATCAAGCAATAAAAATAAAAACAGGGTTTAACGTAGTTAAATTTTTAATTGGAATCATAATGGGTGAAAATTTGTAAAAGTTATTGTAACCATATCAATCTTAGAGTATTTTTTTGTGGATAAGATTTTGGATTTTAAATTAGTGTTTCACTAATATTGAGTTTAATGCTGCTGAAAGCTTGCGGAACTGAGTAAAACATCAAACAGATAATTTATATCACAAAACGCAATGGGTAAGGAAATATAGCCTTAGGTAACTTTGATAAATACAGTTTATGTAATGAATCCCAAAAATACAATAGTGATATGAAGGAGTTTATCATCGCCATTGCACTGATGAAATTAATAGAAATTCACTTAAGATCTTCCCTTGAACACTAAGAATTTGTTAACTTAACCTAAAACACTGGTTATGAACTTAATAAAATATTATTTTCGGTAGGAACTGATGCAGTAACTTATGTGGTTGTGGTATGATATTGATAATGATGCTTAGATTAGTAAGTTGCAGCTAATTATTTACTGAAAATGGTAAATGTTAACCAGATTATATTTTTCAAGTAATCTTTATTTTTACCACAACAGTGAAATTACTACTTTTCTAGTTTTGAAAATCGTAATGGGTTTAAGTTAAAATATTTTAAGTTATTTTACAATAGCTCTTTGTTAAATGTATTTACTTTGTAACACAGTCGAACCTTTATAAGACAAATTTCAAGGGGTAGGGGAAAAATTTGTATCATTGATGTATTCTTAATAAAGAGGTTTGTTTTATCAAGGTTTAATACTGTTATTCGTCTTATTGAGGTTTAACCTCGCTACCAAACAATGACTGACGAAAGAGGAGGGATGGGTGGGGGTTTCATGTTAGACAAGCTTATCTGTTTGTTTTGAAAACTACTATGGAGAAGTTCATGAGAAGTTTGTCTTATATAGGTCACATTTGTTTTGTAAACAAGGTTTTGTGCTAAGAATATTCGTTGTGTAGAGGTTAATTAATCACATGTCACAAACAAAATTGAAGATAATTTTGTTTGAACCTCCATAAGAATGGAGGTTTTTAACCTAATGACTACATTGTATAGAGGTGTTTTTAGCATTGACCTTTATGAAAGTTTCAAGGGGATTTAAAAAAATTCGTCTTTTCAAGGAATTTATTTTACTGAGGTTCGACTGTAACGTTAAATAATGTATAATAAAACTGTATGTTTTATTACATTTTAATTTAACCCTTAGAGTGCCAGGCGAGAAATAAAAGTAACGCTCAAAAAATGCCGATGATTTTTCCCGAAGGTCGCGCTAAAAATGCCGAGCGCGATCTGGCGATTTTTAGGTTAAAATTTCGTAAAAATCGAATTTTCGATATTTGGACCAACGAAAATCGATGTATTGCATCTAGTAACTTTCGACTCAATGTTAATATATGGGTTAAAAGAATCCGAGTATCCATTCGGTTGTTATGACAACTGTTAGATCATTACGAAACGTCCGGTCAGCCGGACGTTGGCACTTTTGGCTCGTTCTAAAAACGTCCGGTCGGCCGGACGTCGGCACTTTTGGCTCGTTTTAAAAACGTCCGGTTCCCCGGACGTTGGCACTCAAAGGGTTAATCATAAGAACAATTTTCACAAACTAGTCATATTTTAAGGAACTTGAGGAATGTTGAAATTTGTTATTTTCTTAAAAAGCGTAAACATTAAAAGTGGTTTACTTTTATTTAGCTTGACTACAATTACACCTTTACACCTTGCTTTACTTAATATTAGCCAAAAATGTAAATGGTTGATTGACACATTTGCTAAACCATCAATATAACAGTACTGTAATGGATTTTTATTGTTATACCAAGACTTATCCGTATATTGGTCCACACTATCTATACAGAGAAGTAAGGTATAGAGGAAACTTTCAGTAATACACCTAAGAGGTGACTAGTGGCTGATGTCTAGGGCAAGTCCAACAAATCCCATCGCCCTCATGTACAACACTCTCACAGTGGAGGAAGACCCTGAGTCCTGTACAAGAGGAATTTCTGCAGAATGCTTGCCACTCAAGGTCTTCCTTGCTAGTGTAACTGGTAGAGCTGATAAATACTTCTTAAGCATCTTTCCTCTGTACCTTACTTCTCTGTGATGTGTTGGGTTTCTCAAGGGCATTTGATCAATTTCCTTGAAAGGTCTAGATGGTTTTCTTAGAAGGTATAACTAGAATGAATGGTTCCACTGAGCTTCTTTGTTTGTATACTCAGTTACCACTTAATTTTATCTTCTATAAAGAAAGGTTTTATACGCTCATTCAAATCAAACTTAAATTCCCTTTATTGTAATTTGTTAATCTAGGTTAATAGAATAGAACCGCAAAAGATTTCTATTATGTCAACCCTGATTGTAACTAGCTTATGTTAAATCATAGACAAATAGAATGAAAATAGACTATCAAAGGAAGGTTCCGCAATGTGCTGCTAGATTGTGCTCGGTGTTTGATTCGCTGCCGTTGTCGGTTCCTGGCCGTCTGCTACCAGCACTACCACTATTGCAAAAGAAATACTACCAATGTAACAGACCCAATTTTCAATAAACATCAATCCCCCGGATTCCAGGGAATTCCTCTGGAGTTGGCAACACTGGTCCCAACTACCAAATTGTCATGACTCGGTCGCTAGCGCTTGATGCTGCGGCGGTGTGCGCCGTGACTACACGGTACTCCTAGGTGGACACCAGAACATATGCTAACTGCAGCACTGCTGTCAGTCTATATTCAATTCTATTTGTCTATGGTTTGATATGTTTTACAACAACCATTCGAGTTATGAAAAAATTACTCTAAACATTATTGTTGTTATACCATTCAAAGACAGGAGATTTATAATATATTTATATTTTTGTATTTAAAAAGAGTGAAAATACATTTAAATCAAAATTATTTGGAAAATTAAGTAAGATACAATAACAATAAAATTAAAATTGATTCCTGATAATGACATTGATCCTGTACGGTAACAGTTTTGCTACGGATTGAACACGGATAGGTTACATTTTTACTGCTCGTACAATAATAAATTATATGGTATGACAATATCACTGATGAAAAAAATAAGGAGTACTTTACCTACTAAACGTAAATTTAACACAAGAAAAATAGTCTATAGTATTTTAGCTTTTAAAAGTTATACATTTTATACATAGTGTAAGTACACTTTTTGTTTTGAATTTATTTTTTATCAAAGATCATCTAAGATTTATTCAAGGTCTTAATTGTGCTGGAAAACATTAATATGATTTGTTAAATATATGATTGGTTAAAGATCTGGTTAAGGCTTACTGATAGACTTTTTCAGTATATAAAAGTGAAAATAAAGTTTTCTAAGGATGTAGGGGGAAAATTCAAACATCCAATACACTTAATATGTGAGGTATACATTTGACTATGGGGAGTGCCCAGAAATATTCATAAAATACACAAATCAAAATAATAGAACAAGTTAACGGCTAAACTCCACCTAGCCTGTAGTAAAGGTTCCTTGACTAAGCTTATCTGTGTGATATGTTTGTTATGTGTTGGTAGATTATAATTATTGTTAGCTACATGTTTAGATGTACTTAGCGGCCTTACCATCGCTAACACATGTTGATTCTTGCAAACCAAAGAGTTTTATAAGTAATGTTGAATTTTATAATACAGTATAATTATATCGTTGAAACTGCAAAAGCCTCCATTTTAGACAGTGAGGATTCTGAAATACTACGGGGGGAAATTGATGAAAATAATGCTATGTTTTATCATGGTATGAGTATGCCCGAAAAACAAAAACCTTTTATAGTACACCTCCAATTTTTGTGTAAATCTGTAAAATGCTTTGACACTAGTAGTGTGATTTGGTACGATACCTAAATTTCTCATCCCATAAAGCAACATGTATCAGAAAAACTGACTTTTTGGTAAAGGTTAAACTGGAATAAATGTCTATTTTTCTCATCTTAAATTTTAAAATAGAAGTACGCTGTTGATTGTTACTGTTGCTAAGTTATTAAGAAATAGTATCTTTTGTAGTATTTTTGTAATATTCTAGTCCTTTTAGTCAGTTGTGGTGTGTTAAATAAGTTCAAATAAAAATAAATATCTAAAGTAATTAATTTCTGTTAAGAAAAGGGATTGGAGATGAAGTGGGTTTTCATCTTGGTGTATAAGGCAAATTAACAGTTGACGTTGATTTCAAAATTAAATGTTTAACTTTTTGTTCTTCTTAAAAAAATTATATTTCTTCTATGAGAAAATATTAAAATCAAACATTATTTCATAAAAGTGAAATACAAATTTTAAATACTTAAGCCTAGTCCACACCTGGCGATTTGTCTCTGGAAACTTTGTTGGCTGACCGTAGTGTTTCCTTTTATATCTCCAGATGATAGTCAGACTGTCGGCAGACAAATCTCTGTGCTTCTGGAGACAAAATTCAGTGTTTTCTGTTTCCCATACCAATGGTAAACACTGAGACAAGAAACACGTCTTTTGTCTCAAGCCTGCATGAGTGGATGATTCTGGAGACAGAAGATCGAAACAACCTGAACCCGCTGGTGTTAAACGTGGAGTTCAGGGCTGAGATTCCAGCCCTGTAACGTGTACATTTCATTCTTTGGCCCAACAAAGACAAAACAGTAACAGAACCTCAAGATCTGTTGGAATTGTGGATATTTATATGCATTCACTGTGGATGCGATACTCCCTGGTGTTTATTAACGTCCGCACAAGTGAGTACTACGACTACCCGCAGTGCTATCCTGATAATTAGACCAATTTGTATATACCAGGGCAAAAAATGTGGTTCGTGGTTCGGATTCCACTATAAACTGTAGGTATTAGCTGTATGGGCTATTAACATAGACAATAGGGTAAATATAGACTGTCAAAGAAAGGTTTTGCGATCTGCCGCTAGAGCGTTATCGCCGTTCGATATCGGTCATCGGTATTCGATTCGGTGTCGACCACGAATACTCGCCAGCTGTTACCAGCACTACCACTCTTGCAAATGAAATGATTACTATATCGCTAGTGTCGTCTTCTGCTATCGCGTCAAAATCATGAACATCTTCCGCGGTTGTGTAGACATCATCATTGAATGCCGTGGTCACGAAACGTCATCGTCGTCGACGATTGCGGCAAAATTGTGAACATCTTCAGCGGCCATGTAGACATTATCGTCTTGCGCGATCGCAGAAAAGACGTGATCATTTTTCCCGCGGTCTCGAAAACGACATCTATTATAGCATAAATAGCACAGTCGCGGTTTAAGGACATCTCCCGCGGTCGTGTAGACATCATCATCGTTTTGCGCCGTCACGGAAACGTGATCGTTGTCTAGTGCGATCGAGATAAAATCATTAAACTTCCCGACTTTGATATAAAAATAAAGACTAAATCCCAACTTTTCAAGACCATTTTGAAATTCAATACTAATACCTGACTTTCCCGTTTTCCCCGCATACTAGACACCCTGGTTAATTAGTTTTTGACCTTGCAAATATAAAACAAAACCTTCCAATAAACCACTTCCTAAAATTATGGATTAACAAAGAAAAACTTTGAATCATTGTAATGAAACTACAAAAGTATAAAAAATATACGTTTAAAAAAATACAATAAAATATGGCATTTTTCATTATTTTATTGATTAATACTAAAAAAGTCAGTAAACACCAATTCCGGGGAATTTCTCCAAAGTTGGCAACACTACTCCCAACTACCAAGTTGTTATGGAAACGGTCGCTAGCGCTTGATGATGCAGCGGTGTGCGCCATAACTACACATTACCCCTAGCGGTCGGCGCCGGAATATACGCTAACCGCAGCACAGCTGACAGTCTATATTTATTTCTTTTTGTCTATGCTATTAATTAACAGCTGTGTCTAAGGAGTGTTGGCCTTAGTCACTAACAAGACTACAAGATCGTGCCACTCATCCTTCACTCATCTCCATTCATACTTGGCTTGTTACCTACTATGTATGGTCACCATTTCATAAAAAAATATTTAAGTATTTAAAAGAGTCATTCTTGTAAAGTTTCTTAATCCTGCGCCATCTTCTAATCAAAGTTCTGATGTTTTGACAATAGTACAAACACTACAAACCTTCCTAGATAAACTTACAGGTCCACAATTGTCTCTTCCTCGGTACATCACCCACATAGTTAAGAAGTAAAAAGCACGCACAGGACAAAATTACGTCCTCTTCAGTCGCCATACCGATTAACACAAGCTGGCTAGTGTGGGTGTGGAGGCAAAACAAATCGTAAACTTGTATCCGAAACTGTGTTGACAGACTGTTGGCCAACTCAGTTTCCAAGTGTGGACTAGTCTTTATGGACTACTAAATAAAACGGATAGCCCAGTTTATATTATTTAAAACGTTTAACTATATATTAAAAAAAATATAATAAATTTGTGTTTACATACTTTCAGCATATTCTTAGAACTTGTGTAATTTTACTTTAACTTTTTAACTTGGTAATGTATTTTGTCAATTAAAATAAGTTGTACATAAACCTGTAAAAATAATATAACCGATAATGAAAGTGTGTGGTGAAAAAATATACAATGAGTTTTAACATGCTGTGTCTTATCTTGTGTAAAATTGCTCAGTATTTTATTTTCCAACTTTTTTATTCAAGAGCATTTTATTTTTGAGGTATTTGCATTAATTCCTCAGATTCTTCATCACTAACATTATATTTGAGGTTGAAGTAGACATCCCATTTGGACCAGAAGTCAATAAAGTATATTTCTCAAAGGTAACATAACTGAACAAGTTTCTATACTCTGTGTGATGGAAACTGTCTCCTGACCATCCGTCTACCTGGAAACTGGCCCGGGCCTTAAACCATTGGAAATGAAATATTCACAGAGTTAACAATTTGGTGTGATTGTTGATTATAGGCTGTAACTCAACATAAATCTATTTATATAAAATCCAATGTATGTTTGTTTGTCCTTTATGGACTCCGAAACCGCTTGACTGATTGTAATGAAACTTTCAGGCATTATTAAGCATTATTCAAGGATGGTTTGTGTGAAGTTTGGTGCAGATCCGTCAAAAAGGGCTCCGCCCCAGTGGCTCTGGAGTTTCCCATGTTAACCTAATGAGTACTCATATTTAAATTGAATCAAAGAATCTTAACAGCTGGTTCCACTAATAAATTTGATTCTGTGATGTTCAATAGTATTAAAAAGTTAATAGGTTTACCAACAGGGTGCAGCACTTTTATTTTTTTTAATTTATGACAACAACTAATTTGCAACTAAAAGGTGAGTGAGCGTAGCGAACGAACTTCAACCAGGACGTGATTGAGCCATGCGAACGAGCTCATCTTGAATGAGCTTTTGACATAAAACCACATTAGGACAGGACGACGTCTGTCGGGCCAGCTAGTCAATAAATAAAAACCATGCCTAACATGAGATGTGAAGCTTGAAATAGACAATAATCTTACTGCCTATCATGAGATCGATGAAGCTTGAAAAATAGACAGTAGACTGTAATATTACATGTCATTCATTCATCATTAACATTAATTTCTCTTTTATTTTGTATATTTTCTCTCATAATGTCTGTTAATGCCCCTGATAATGTGTTATCAGTTATTTAATATGTTCCTCCTTGTTAATGTGTTATTTTATCCAATTTTGTTCAATGTTATATAATATCCCATCACCCCACAGAAACATCATCCTATTTTATGTTAGAATATAATATTTATGCAAATTCTCTCCATACCTATCCTGTACTCATCAAAAACCAACAATAGTCATTTATTTAGAATAATATATAATTGTAAGAAAATTACAATATAGTAATAACATCTTAAATATAGTATTATTTTTCAAAATTATCCAAAGAAAATCAAAATTACTGTGGCAAGTGTCATTCATGTAAATTAACCAGCTGTACATCACTTCAACAATGGACATGGACTTCCTGAGCTTCTACCATTGCCTCTCCCCAGATCCTGCCAACTCTTCACAGTGTGAACATCATTCTATTGGAAATTGTGTTTGATTTAAACTAAAATTTATAATCCCAAAGTAAAACATATATTTTAAATTTCTTATCATCCAAAAGTATTGGACAAGTGCATTGAAGAGTACCAATTTATAAGAAGACAGACACTCCAAATTTGGTAACCATCATCCATCTTACTTAACTAAGGACAAATTTAATCTTCATTGGACATTTAATCAGTATAGCCTACTAGGCCCAAAACTCAACTCATCAAGATATACATATTTCAAATTGAACTTTTATTCAAAATTTAATCTTCAAATTCTATTTTATTTCATTAAATTCAGTGAAACCATTTGGAATCTTTCTTTGGACATTAACATTATTAGCCTATATTAATAGCATCATGAACCTAGCTTAACTTATTTCAGAACAATAACTAAATTAAATTATTTGCATTTTAAAGAAGCCTAATATATCATTCGAACCGGCACGACCACCCCTCCCTGAGATTAAGAGCTCATAGCGTATTTAAATATTAATTAGTACTTTAGAAGAAACCAACCCAATAAGCCTAGAATAATATCATCCACTTTGGAAACCCCACCATTTTGAAAATTTACCATTGTTAACCCTGTAGCTAATTCAACCAATAACTTATCTTATATTTGTATTTCATTAATAAATTATATATTGTAACATACCAAATCTCTTTATTCAATAATTCATATAGGCCTATTATAAGATTAAGATAAAGACTTACCTCATTAGACAGAAATAAAACACAAATTAGGAATTATCTTTATTAAGAAAGAAATGACTTGGAGTTCAATGTGGGCTAACTTAATAGCCGAAGGAATTTTGTGGGCCTAAGTTAATGAATAGCCTATAGAAAGCTTTATGGTGCGTAGCAAGACTTATTGCCTGACATAAGATGAAGCTTGAAAAATAGACAAAAGGGGTATAATTCAACACGAGATGAAGCTTGATATATAGACTAAAGGGGTATAGTTTAACATTAGATGAAGCTTGAAAAATAGAAACAAGGGGTTTAGTTTTAACACGAGATGAAGCTTGATAAATAGACTAAAGGCGGGGACACACTTGTCATACACCCTTCCGATCCGACTCCGATCATACTGCGGTACGACTGTCGGAGAGGGGAATGGTACATAACATTGAACACGGTTGTTCACACCTCTCCGACACGCGTCATGTCATACTCCGATCCTACTCCTATTTTGATTTTGGTTCCGATCACGCACCGACACTGCAGTCTATTCGTTTGTCGGATGCAGGACGGGTTTTTTTCTAGACTAGTTGCTTGTACAAATTTTTTATTTTGATTGTGTTTAAACTTCTATTTTGAATTCAATTCAATTTTAAACAGCTGATTTGAAAATATTGCTTAGTATATTTTAATTAGTGTTGTCAAGGGCGATGTGTCAACGTCGCCCTAGCCTTGTCTTGTGATTGGCTGCCACCAACTGCCAACTTTACGTGGTCCCGACAAATTTGATCGAGTTGAATGGTAAAAAAACACTTTTTACCTTCATTTCTTTGTTTACCATGTATTGTTGAAATTCATTAAAATAGTTTTTCCCAAAATTTGTGAATTCTTTAGATTGTTACCCGCTAAAAACGTTGATGTTCTTGTTTTTTAGTAGTTAATAAATTCATAAAATACAAGGCAAAAAATAAATTGGTTCATGTTTTCCTTCCAATGTTTAATTTTTGTGTTACCTTCAATTTTGGTTTTTGAAATCACCCTTTATTCTTAAGGGTTTAAGAATAATGGTTTAATATAAATATAAGTTGATGTTTAATGTGAAATTTGTGCGTGCATACCTCCAATAAGACCTCTATAATGAAAATTGGACGGCTAGAAGAGCCAAACGAACTCGAGCGATAAAAACCAAAGTGTTTATTATATAAGATAGGCACTTAAGTAAACCACCTAACTTACCTCAAAAAAACAGCCAAACGCTGTGTAGGACTGATCGGTTGTCTGAAGTACGAGTCTTGCTTGGTTATTGTTTCTCTAAGTTCGAGCTCCAACTGATTGAACGTTGACTTTGACATTCGAAAATAATGGTAAAATTTCGTCTCGTCGTCCAACAGATGAGGCATGATCGTGGAAAACTCTCCTTCTGAGGATCTTTCCTTCCATGCAGAATGGACCCAAATTCTCCGTTTCCCACTGTCCTCCAGAGATGTATGACTTTCTTCCTCTTCATCCAGACAAACCGCCATCATGGCTAAATCCCGAAGTCCAAAGTTTTTGAACATGTTTCACCTTCTGCACGTAGCTAACAACTGACGAGTTTTGGAAGTACAATCGACCTGGTGCAGGAAATCGGTGATGGGTCGGAAGTGTGTATGACATGTGTGTTCACCCCCTCCGATCCCGCACCGATCCTACTTGATTCCCGCAAATCGGATCGGAGTCGGATCGGAAGGGTGTATGACAAGTGTGTCCCCGCCTTAAAGGGGTATAGTTTAACACGAGATGAAGCTTGATAAATAAACTAAAGGGGTATTGTACAGGGTGGCGCAGAGAAACGGGAAATTTTCAAGTCATTGTTGGTACACCTGTATGTCTTGTAGTAGTGAGAAACGAGAGTCATTACGCCAAGTACTAATGGACATTTAGTTGAGATGGAGCAGTGGAGTGGTGCGGAGCCTGCAGTCGCCGTGAGAGCATACTACAAAAATGGTTACAGTGCAAAAGCTGCAAATGTTTGAAAGTCTGTTAATTTCATTTAAATGGACATGTCAATAAGCAGAACATGCGTTACTGGGCTTAACGAAAACCCACTGAACTTCATCAACGTCCGCTACACAGTCCCAAAGTTACTGTATGGTGGGCACTGTCTTGTCTTGGTGTTGATGTTGGACCTTACTTTTTTGAGGATGAAGATGGTTCCACAGCAACTGTTATATCTCAACGTTACATTCATATGCTGAAGACATTTTTTGCTCCACGGCTTCATGCTTTTCTAGAAATTGAAATCCTGCAAACCTGGTTTCAACAACAAGTTCACACACTACCAATCTGTCAATGGCTGCATGGAGACGTTAGTTTGGGGAGCGCATCATTTCAAGGAACGCTAACGTCGTTTGGCCTCCAAACCTCTCAAGTGTGTGACTTCTTTCGATGGGAACATCTAAAGAGCGTTGTGTACCTGACTAGGCCAAGAAATGTTATTGAGCTCAAGACTCAGATCGAAGATTACGTCGCCAACATCCCAGAGGACACATTGCGTCGCACAATGCTAGTCTTCAAAATCGATTGAACGAATAGGCCCAAAAGACAGCACTTAACTGATGTTAAATTTAAAGTGTGATTTTTAACAATATTCCTATTTTCAATTCTTATGTATTTTCCACACTTCACCAACACATTTTCACCATCTAAGACTTTGTTGTACGATTTTCTTGGTTTATTATGATTATTTCGAAATTCCCCATTTCTCTGCGCCACCCTGTATAACATGAGATGAAGCTTGAAAAATAGACAATAGACTTATTGCCTAATACAAGACAAAGCTTGAAAAGTAAGCTTAGAAAATACTAGCTACATTTCCGGGTTTACCAGTATTGTTGCTGGGGTAGACCTCCTACAATAAACAATACTTTGGTGGAAGCTGACGGGATACGAGAGTCACCACTGCCTTTTTTCATATGTTTTGTCACATTTTACTAATTAATACCGCTTGTCCCCAATAAAAAATTCATTAAAAAGATGGATATTAGCATACTTAAATTAATAAACTCGTGAGGCTCCAACTGCAAAAGTATAGATGCATAAACATTCTATTTCAAAGATGGTTTTTACTACACACAAGAAAGTGTCATCTGCTAAATTCTTTATATAGCCAAACCACATTAAAGTGAGTTAAAAATATTACTCTTTTCGACAACGAATACTGTAGATAACTTCTAACAAAATTTATTCCTTATTAAACACCTATATAATATGTGTGAATTTATTTTACCTTTGAATCAAGTGTATGCAAACATTGCTTAAACAACTACACATAACAAGGATTACCTATAAATCTTAATATGATAGCCTTGTCTCAACCATCAAATTAATCATAAATTAATGATCAATGGGTAAGAAAAACATAACACAAATCTATAAAATATTTGAATTTATTATTTACAACAAAACATTTAGTTACAGTACACGTATGAAACAATAATTATATTGTAAAAAAATTCAACAAAAACAGTCAAACCTAAGAACAAAATAATATTCTACGTATAAGAAAATTATTATGAACTTAAAATTGTGTATGGTAAAGTTATGAAGCTTCACGACAGGTTAATAATTGACATCCAAAACATTAATTAATTCATAATTCACATTAAACTACCTGTACTTAGGAACAATGAAAATGCAACTTATTGTAGTGTTCTCAAAAGTTAACATAGGTAAGATATATTTTAAATAGCTTTGTTGGATTATGATATGCTTTATATATACTACTGGCATGAAAACCAACATTAATAAATAGTGAATATTAATTAATAAATTTGTAAAGTATACCTTATATGATATTTCAATTTTTACAGAAACATTATCAAGAAGAATGTATATGTATGGTTCATTGTTGAAAAATTGTTTTAATATGACATGCCATTGACACTAAATCTCATAGTTTTCCTTCCATATTTCGGAGTGTAAAAAGTCTTGTAATATTTCTTTAAGTCTGTAACACTTAAGGTAGGTAGTTCACAAACCAAGCGGTAAGTAAAAACTGATAATTGATCATATTATTAAAGTATGCAAAAATTATATTATAAAATTACATGGATCACCAATTCCAAACATGAATAATAATATTTGGAGAGAATCTCCGAATGATTTTAAATATTTATTAGTTCACAAAGAAAAACATTTGTTGAACAGTTTACCATATTATATGCTGATACCATTGAAATCAGCTTGGGGAATTCAAAAACTGACAATGAACAAAGTATAGAACAAAAATATAATAATTACAAAGAATTTAGTGATCAAATATGTTCAATAGTGTAAAAGCATGAAACAGGTTCCATCATACATACTATAGTAATGGGTAGTTTAATATAAAAATTGTCATGTCACTCCTTTGTAATCTAAGCAAATACTCATTTGTAACTTGCTGATAAAGGTAACACTAGTCAGGAACATAATTTTTTAACTGTTGGTTCTATATCTACTTTAAAACAATTATTTCTATCTTTCCTTAGAATTAAACCTGCATCCTTCATACTATTACAAGATGAAACAAGACAAAAACTTAATTTTGAAAACAGATTACATAAAATAACAAACACTAAAATATAACACACAATAACCAATAGTTTTGGTCAATGGTAAGGCAAAAAAAAACACCTTATTTTGTGAACAAAACTAAGTCCACACAAAAACTGTGCTACATTTAAAACTATGTGGTAGAAAATGTTTGACTAAGCTACAGATAGTAGAATTAAGTAAAAACAACAGTTTAAAAACAATAACGGTAACCCTTGTGCACACATTGCAAAATTAAAATTTCAAATGTACAGTTCATATTTCAATAGCTTTAATCCAAATAGCCATTAACTTATATTGATTCTTTATTATTGACTATTGATACAACAAGACATTCCATACATACCAAAAAGCTCTTTTTATGAAAAACTAACTGGCCCGACAGACGTTGTCCTGTCATAATATGGTTTTATGTCAAATGCTCGTTCATTTTCAAGATGAGCTCGTTCGCATAACTCAATCACGTCCTGGCCAACATATTCCTTAGACACAGCTGTTAATTAATAGCCCATAAAGCTAATAAGAGACCTGCAGTTTTAGAGTGGAGTCCGAACCACATTTTTGCTGTGGTATTAATGAATTGGTCTAATTATTATAATTGGTCAGGATAGTACTGCCGATAGTCGTAGTACGGACGTTAATCCACACCAGGGCTATAGGCCTAATCGTTAATAACCACTATTGCTGACAACTTGGTTCGGCAAAGGGTCATTAATCCATCCAGGGTACATGGAACAGCCTGGCGGAGTGGTTGGCAGAGCTGCACAGTGAGTCGTTAGAGCAAGCCAAACGGGAAATAATCACTGTCACCGAGATCCAACAGCCATGCCACCACTTATTGCTGTAACTTGTCCACATCAGTTACACACAACTATGTAGCGTTGCTAGAACTGACATTTTAAATTCAGTTATATGACTAATGGAAATATTTTACTGCATGGTGAATGTGGAATTGAGAATAGTTATTAAATTCTAAAGCAGCTTATAGACGGGGAGAGTAGAGACACTTTAAGCTAGTGGCTGCAAATACTTGCCAGTTCCAGTTACTATTTATCTAGTCTAATGTTCATTCCTTGGTTAGCATACATTATAATAGTTACCAAGGAAAGTAGCTCAATAGACAAGGTAAGTGTAAGTATGCAGTAACGGTTACTAGCAAGTATTTGCAGCCAGCAGCTTGTTGTCTCTGCTTTCACAAGCAATAAGCTGCTTACAGCTTGTGATACACTGAACTTTGATACATAATCCTTATAGACCAACTGCATTCACTAACAAAATTAGATACACACCCTCTTTACACCAAAAGACACACAATAATTACATTATTCAATCTTGCAAGTACAAACGTGTTCAAGTGATGTCAGCTGTTCACTGATAGACTAGACTATTGTAACTGTGAAGGTCGACGACTGCTGGGCCGCCGTAGCCCTGGATATCAGACAGTGTTGGTGACAGGAACGGGGTTTATGCTGAGTACCGAACCGATGCCAGACATCACAGGATATACCAGGGGGTCCAAGGTACCCATCGGAGGTCCGTAGCTGTTGTGGTTCTGCCAAAAGGACACAATGTTTAGGATATTGTATTGTTTCTATGATCAATTAATTTCATTTTATTTGCATTGTGTCTTCTACACATTGGAAATTTTATTTATTATTTTGTCAAACTTTAGTTTTGTTACTAATCACAACCTAATGTTAGATAGCATCAATAACTAATAGCTCAAATTTTTGCTATAATAACAGACTAACCAGAAAATGGCATACAGTTTATTAAGTTGTATCCTACATGTATAAGAATGAATGCAGTCCTTCCTTGGCAGAAAACACTGTCCGCAACAGTTTTGAAATGTATCTAATTTTTATGTTTGGTAAATGGTGTAAGGTAATTTTAAGCATTCTGTTTCTTGGGCCAGGTAAACTCTTTCCTTTCTGTATAAGCTTGCTAACCAACAAAACTCTTCAAAGTTAGGCCCTTGGAGCTCTAGGTTATATCCCTTACGCCTCTTTCACACGATGCGGATAAAGGATTTTGGTGAGGAATCAGACTTACATGAATGGGAAAGAGTCCACACTCTAGCGCAAGAAACACAATACTTTGCTACTATACCATTTAGCTAAGTCTGCTCTCCTCAAAAAATCAAAACCTAGGCACTGTGCCTTGTGCTATATGTTGCATCCTGAATTTCTGAAAAATTATGCATGAACAGGAAATATATTAATAGGTAGGCTTAAAATTATGTTTTTCGATTTTTACGTTAAACTTACCTTTCTTGGTCGTCCACGACTCACCTTTCTTGGTCGACCACGGGGTTTGGGTATTCTTGCTGCCGCAACATCGCTGTGTTGAATTATGTAATGTTGCCGCAGCTTGTCGGACCGTGCAAACTGCTTGGGACAGCGTGAGCACGAGTAAGGCCTCTCACCAGTGTGCACACGGATGTGCCGCTGTAGGTGTGACAACCGCAGGAACGACTGATCGCAGAACGAACAACTGTGTGGCTTTACCCCTGCGTGCGTCTGAATAAAACAAGAATCATATCGTCAGTGAATTGGGTAGGATCAATTATACAATTTGTGGACATGGTTTATGAATAACCCAAATATGTATGAAACCAAATAGTTGTAGTGATATAAAGACAGTAGGTGTACGGTTACCAAATGTAGCAAAAACTGGTTGTGATTCAAAGACCAAACTATTAATCAAGATTTAAATTTATTTACTTACATAAATCCTATCTTATATTCTGGTTAGTAAACCCTTTGACTATTATCCAATAGTCAATGGTAAAACACTACAAATACTAATGTTTTGTAAAGACAAAAGTGTCTTAATTAATCTGATTTTTCGTTATCCAATCTTCCCTATCAACGATCAAATACAATGAAACTACATTAACACAATAACGTGAAATACAAGAAATACATGTGGCATGACTGTTTGTGTAATGGACAATTAGTTTCATTGCCTCTGACTGTAGGGCCTTTACCCAGAAGATTGTGTTCGTGCTTTAGGTACCTACTTACTTTACAGTAGGTTTGCTTTCGAACGCTGCATATCAATATAAATTTAAAATACCACACAGTCTGTCGACTGTTCTTGTCTACATCTATCTTTGTTGTTGTCACTAATGTTATCATGCAAACAAAGATCTGAGGCTTAGTGATGATGTATTGTTTTAGCAGAGAAATCTAAATTATTAGCCTATTTTGATTATATTTTACTTATTTTGTTGTGATTTTTTTGACACAAGAGATGTTTTGTTTTTTTTTGTTTTTTTTTATTTAGTACGCTAATTTTATATTCAGTAAATACATTTTGATTGTTTTCACAATTGTATAGCACTTAATGATTATTTTTTTCAGCCCTCAACCTTTAAACTTTTAAATTATGAACTGGCTGGGTAGCTGAGTGGTTATAGTGCTCGCCTACTAGTCAAAAGGTCGCCGGTTCGATCCTGAGAAAAGTCAGTAGGTAGCTTTTTGATGGCTCGAAACTGGACCCAGCTGTTCCTGATCATTGGGCTTTAAATAAATAATCCTGGCTAATGAAACAGCTGATCTTAGTCAGTAACAAAGCTACACAGATCATCTCACACCATTCTACACTCATCCTTCACTCATATTTGGGTTAAAATACACACCTAAGTGGCATCCCCATCTTAATGACTGATAATTGATAAATAAAAAAAACCTTGCTTTAGCTGTTAAAGGACAGACAATCAAGACTACTTCGTCACAGGACAGGTCCTTTGGGGTGCAATGGTTTTCTACCACCTATATACCGTAGTACCTATTGAGAAAACATTAACATAAATTAAATTGGATGAAAACAAATATTTACCAGCATATGTCGATGGTATGTTGCCTTGTTCTGGAAACTCCGTATACAAATATGACAGAAATAAACTGCTTCGTCACTTTCAGTCCTATTCACTTCACTAGCTTCAAACTGCATTTCCTCTTGAGACTCTTCTACACTTTCAGTTTTGATGAGTTCACTACCACTCACTTCCTCAAAATCTAGAAACTCTTCATTTGCGTTTTCTTTCACGTCCTGGATCACACATGTTGGTTCAACTTTAATTTGCATCTAAAGAAAGGGAAAAAACAATAAGTTAAATCGATGGTAATCAGTTAAACCTAACCTTCACATACAAGTATTAAGAACAAATTTTGGAGAGGTTTTTGATAAATTTTTGTTCTCCTCAAAGCAGCAAACCTAAATTTTATAGAGTCAAAAATGATTCATTCTCAATAATAATCTAGCATTAATTTAGTTTCAAGCCAGTTTGAGTAGACTCAATAAACCAAATGAAAAGGTATAGACTTAGTCTGAAGGTTTGCTGCACCTTGGGGGCAAAAACATATGATTTGAACAGATGCTATATATTAAGCTTCTAGGGCATGTAAACCATAATCTATGTAAAACTAGTGAATAATCTAATGATCCCACACCTAGACCTTACCATGACCACCACTCTTCACGACTGGGCCTATATAGCTTACTATCCATTATTAGTAGGAATTACTGAAAGCACTTACAGCTTTAAGCTGCCAGCCATCATAAAAAATAGAGCTTAAATCAATTACAGAAGATATCCCAATCAAAGAGAGGAAAAAAATCGATTCAAATAACTCACCGTACTATCACTGTCTGAAGTTTCCTCTGTAGGTCTTTCCACTTGTTCACGCTGCCTATCAGATTCTTTATTCTTTCTCTTACTTGACGACGTAGCCACCAACTCTGCTTGCCACTTCAACTCCTCGCCATTGTGATGCACAGGACTTGGCTCTCTACTAGTGAACGATTCTTTGGTTGACTTGGTATTTTTTTCTTTGGTATTCTGTTGTTCCCCTGTGTTTTGTACTAAACCTTTGACCTGCAGTTCTGTCGCTGTGTCTAATAACAATTCCAGCTCGTCCTCGCCTACATCTACAGCTCCTACGTACATATACTGTAAAATTATTTGCATTTCCCTACTCTTTATTCCTTTTAGTATGATTGTGGGATGTTTGCACGGATTTTCTTTGAAGACCTTTTCAAAATATGGACTGCATGCAGATAATACCAGTTTGTGGCCATACAGCTGACCGTCAGTACAAGATATTGTGACATCTACTAGACTCTGCTCATTGTAGAGATTTTCAAATAGACTCTGCAGATTTTGAAGGTGGTTATTCCAGCGTAGGTGGAATGACTTTTGATTCATTTTACGATGTTCGGTATACCCTGAAAAAGTTAAATGGGTGGTTAAATATTTGTAACTGTATTGTGGTAGGGCATACAATGCATTTAAGTTAGTAGGCTATAGAAAATAAAATCCTGAAAATTTGTTTAACCAAAAATATTTGTTTACAAAAAGAACATAAATAAATAAGAAAATATGCCTAATAGCTCAATTTAACAAAATAGTAGTAATCAAATCTTGATATAATTATGGCGATTTGTTAAGTTACATTTCATAAAATAAATGAACTGAACAAAAAAAAATTAAGTCAATCTATATAATTAATACGCTACATGAAACTTTGTCGGTTGAACTCCTCCGCCATTTCTTAACAGATTTTATCCATTGACGTCTCATTGGAAAGAGCGTGTCGCGTAGATTTGCAAACTGGCCTTACTTTTTTGAAAAAGTCCCTTGGGCTTTGCCCCAGTGGCTGTTAAAGTTCCCATGTTATCCTTATGAAGAACATAATTGTTTACATTTTGATCAGCTGTATAATTTAATTGCTGTTATTTATATTTCAATCCTATGAAACACATTGAGTACATTTATTTACTATTTGAGTTTGTGTAAACATAACCCCTAAGACGGATCGTGTTAGTATGGTTGTATCTTAAATTTGTGTATTTATCGTTGTTTTGTGTCGCTATGACGGATCGTGTTAGCATGATTGTTACTTAAATTTGTGCATTTATCGTTGTTTTGTGTAGCTATAATTTGTTAATTTGTTGTTTTTATCGAATTTCCCTATAGGGAAGTAGCTATTACCGTAGGTCTCATGGTAAGACTTAGGCCCGGGACCGATTTACTTCTTCATTTTAATGTCCCCAGAGGCCAAAAACACCATTCGTTCAAATTTTTATATATGTATATATATATATATATATATATATTTATAGATAGATATATATATATATATATAGATTTATATATATATATATATATGTGTCCGTGAACACGATAACTTGAGTAATTTTTATCCCATTTTGATGAAATTTGGTTTGAAGGTGTAAGGCGGGATAAACTTGAATGAGTTCGCGATCCAGCATGATCGGACCATGGGAACAGGGTTTTATGGGGGGTTTTATGGGGTAAAAATTGGTTTTTCTCACGTTTTATCCTCAAAACACAAAATTTCCCAATTTTTCTCTAAACCTTCTTAAAGAGCTTAAGAAAACAAACAATTCAGTATATCAAAGTGTTTTTGTACGGTTATTGGTTACGGAGAAAACTAAAAAAATTGTAAATTTAAAATTCCCATGTTATTCTTATGGAGAATATTGTAAAATGTTGTAGTTTGCTTGTTTATAATGATTGTAGATAAAGTGATACCTAACAGGACGAATTAATGAAAGAATTTAAGGCCTAACTTAATAGATTTATGTTCTTTTTATAGGAATCAATGTTTAAGCCCCATCTCCACCAACCGAGTTACAATGACAGTAGGGTAGCACTTGGCAGCATAGGATTTCATTTCAGGAGGATCAAGAATCAAGAATCAGCCCCCGAAGGAATACCCCCCCCCCCTTCTACCTGATAAATTTAACGACTAAAATGTGTTTTTGAATTACAATTCAGTTTTATAATATAGTATTGCAGTAAGAACATTTTTAGATTGTAAAAGCCAAACGTAATATTTAATTGTACCTTAATATATTAGCAGTGGCGGTTCTAAGACCTTGTCAAAGGGAGGGCTGGGATGTATTACACTGTGAAGGAAGTTCAGGGGTCCTCTCCCCAACAGTTTGCTATTTTTTGGTGACTTTTAACATACTTTTTTTTTATTTGGTGAGCCATTTTTTACATTTAGAAACTGTGACAAAAACCTCTGATTAAATTTTATTGCGGTAGCCTAAATGTTTAAATTTATATTTTTAGAATCAATGGCGGGCAGCCCCTATAGCCCCACCCCTCCATGGATAAGTTATTTTGGGAGGGGGGATCCATCACGAAGTAAAGATATGAGGAGTACAGGTAGGCCTATATACTTCATGATTGTGAAAAGTAAGTTAGAACTAATTTAAACTTACATCAAGACATGTGGAAAAATGGAAAATATGCCTTTACATATTTTGAATAAATGTTTTGCCCAGAATTATATAAGACCTCGAATATTAAAAAGTACAAGGGGTGGTGTATTCCGATGAATATTCACCAATCTACAATTAGAAAATACCCTGATTTAAATCAAATAAGCTAAAAGATAAATACCCCCGCCACAGGAAACCTGCAGACTAAGCAAATTTTAACATGTCTGATTACATTTTTACTAAAATATTTCCATAAATAAGACATTTATTTATTCCCAATTTAATAACATTAGATTTAACGAGTGCTTAGGTTTGCTGCTAGGGGGAGGGTAAAAAGTGTTTTTGGACCGTACGTCAATAGTAGGATGAAATAAATAAATTTGCCAAATTTTATCAATATATATCCATAGACAAGTAAACTACAACAGTTTCCATTTTCTCCATAAAAATAACATGGGAATTCTAAATAACACTATTTTTGAATTTTCTCCGTAACCGTTACCGTAGGCATACAACAGCGCTTCAATGTACTAAATTATTTATTTTTTTAAGCTCTACAAAACGGTTTAAAAATAAATTGCGAAATTTTTTGTTTTAAGGGTCATAAATGGGAAAACCCCATTTATACCCCATAAAGCCCTCCATAAACCTCCGTTCCCATGGTCCGATTATGCTGGTTTGCGAACTCGTTCGAATAAACGTAGGGGTTTACACGTTTGTACCAAATTTAACCAAAATCGGATCATTTTTGCTCGAGTTATCGCGCTAACGGACACATATATATATACTGTATATATAAATTTGTATGGATGGTGTTTTTGGCCTCTAGGGACCTCGAAACGAAAAATTAAAATTGGTTCCGGGTCCAGGTCTTACCATGAGTACTAAGGTAATAGCTTATTCCCTATAGGTATGGGAAATTCGCTAAAATCCAGGTAACTTATGGTTGGGTTACTATAATTTGTTAAGTATTATTAAAAGTTAAGTTTACAGTATTGTAGGGCCTAGTGAAAACGATTAGCCTATTCAAGGTTTCTAAATTATTTTTTGGGATAGTTTAATATTATATTTAATCAATACGGTATTGTGTAACACAACACTCAACACGATTTTATGAAATTGTTATTGTCTCTGAGAGCTAGGCCTGCCTTACCTAACCTCAAATTGATAACTAACAAAATGATAACTTAAACCAATTCTAGATTTATGATTCCGAAAAATAATGATTGATGAATTTTGGTACAAATAAAAGTTCAAGGAAGTTTAAAACTGTCAGTTCTTTGCTTAAATACAAACTATACTGTATTTCTAATTTTTAAGGTGTAAACAAAAACAAAACTTACCTTTAAAAACAAATTAGCATCCAATAAGCACAGATTGCACAGTCACACTCAATCCAAAGACAAACATTCGTAGTATCGAATTAGTAAACTCGCTTTCTTTTCTACGATGTTCAACCTTCATGGGGTGCCTCAAGCAAATGGCAGGGCAAGGGGAGGCTCTAGAAGGGGGTCCGGGCTGAAAATACTGCCAGCCGACTGATAATATGCAATGTGGGCCGCGGGGGGAGCCGACCCCCTCGAAGGGGATAATGGAGGGGGGACTGACGTCAAAAAACTGGTACAGTCTCAACCAAATATTTCAGAGGGTTCCCTGTGGCACCACCACCAGGGGGCACGAAGCTAAGCTAAACTTACTACAATAAGTTTTTGTCTTCCATGCTAAAAATTGTTACTGAGTATTTAAACCCCTGAATGGTAGGTAATAGATATGATTTTTTTAAAAATTGTTATCACATTCCAAGGGTTTTTTACTATGTTATATTTATTGGTAATATTTAAGTAGGTAGTTTCACTAAATACCGGTAGTCCGGTAGTTGAAATTAGAGAAAGAAATGAAAGTTTGATGAAATTTGGATTGAAGTTTTTAAAAATCTAATTTGAAATTGGCATTAAATAAAACATAAAATATAGCATTTAGCGATATTTTTAGAACTCGCCTGTCAGTAGGGCCTAGTTAGCGCTGATCTAGTTGCCAAACTATGGGATATCGCGAATATTTATTTTTATTTACGTACAAACTTTATAAAACCCCGGGCTTCTGCTTTATATCCAGACAATTTCATACATCCAATACAGAATTCGGAACTAAACGAACAGCCCTATTCCTTATTATGACCGAGACGTGTGCTTTCAATATTACCCCTTTTATTAGAACAGAACACAGAAACTGTATGGATCTATGGATCATAAACAGAAACAAATTACGTAATTGCCCCGAATCTTTAATAACCGTAACCGCTGGTTTGGACGTTTTCGACAGTTATGACAGTAATATACAAACATTTTTACTTTCGGGCCAGGCCAGTTACGTAATTTGTTTATTTTGATGATTCAGATTCTGTTTTAGTACCTATCCTTATATTTAATACGTGAAGGCGATTTCTACAAAACACTACTCCTCCGTTAATAATGGACGGATTTTTACAAACGACGTGTCAAAATAAAGTATTTTTTGTGTAGACGCCCCCTTTCACCAATTCCTGTAATAAAAATCCTCGGGCTTTGCCCCACAGTCCATCTGGAAAAGTTGGAGTTTCTCCCATAAGATTAACATGGGGGAATCTAAATATTTAATTGGAAACTTTGTCCCCACTAATTTGAGAGAACGGCTGGGGGTAGAAACTTGGTAGAGGTGTCCAAAGAAAGGTCTTGGTCTGTAGATGAGTTATCAAAAGAAAAACTAAGCAAAATCCCTTAGGACCCTGCCCTAGAAGCCTTTAAAGATCCCTCCACAGAGTTGTTTACATTTTGGCCATGTGAATAATACTTTTTAATGAAACAGCTGTTCATTTTTAAATTGTATTTCAAACAACACACATTTATTACTGGGAGTTATTGAATTCTACCAAATAAGTATTTGCAATGTTATTTTCTGATTTTAAAATTTATTTTCTTCTTTATCATGTCATGTTTTGCAATATAACGTTCCATTACGAAATCAGTGGAAAATCCTTTTATCACAGCAATTCATAAATGATTTCTTATTGAACTATCTTATATCTATTGTACGGGTTGGTGTCTGCCTTTTTCACTACTTTTGCCTACATTTTATCATATTATTCTACACATATAAAATATTTATGTAGCCTAGAAATATCTGCTCTTATCATGTCTAAAATCCAAACATAGAAATCTTGCCTAAAATGGTACCCATCTTAACAAATTATTTGCACCTGCCTATATTACGTACTTTGGCGCACTGGTTTGGTAACATTATTGAAAATAACACGACATTTTGGCTGTAAAATATGGTACAAAGAGAAATACTATTTAAGCAGCTACTGTCATGAAAGAAAGGTCATATTCATTTTAAACTAGATCACACAATCCTTTATAAGATACGTTGATTAACAATATGCAAACGTCAATATATACGTAACAGCCAATTTACAGTATTTTTGCTTTTTGGAAATGTCCCATTGCTATGTCATTTGCATTATTTGTTGCCAATGAAGCCGCAAGACCTTATGAACTAGGAGGCCCCTAAAACAGTTCAAGAATAAAAGCCAACTTCACTTCAAGTATTCCGCTACACCTAACATTCCGTAGAGAGATTATATTGACTGCTTTATGTTATTGATAAGGCTGAGACAACTAACTGACATCCCCCATGTCAAGGAATTCCAGCTTTAACAGTAACACCACAACAAATTTCACAAAACTATGTTCACTTATTGGCACAGAAGTACGGTATGAACTGACGCGACGTGACGAAGGAAAAATCAAACTTACACTGTAGCGGATAGACCTCCCTTTGAAGTTAGAATATGTCTTCCCAAAAAATATTTTCTTTTGAAATAAAATCATATTACACTGAGGAAATCACGGAAGTGTTTAACTACAAAAGATCTACCAATACGATTTTAATACTCATTGGCACAGAATAGTATGTTTTCTGTGACAGAAGTACGGTATGAACTGACGCAACGTGACGAAGGAAAAATCAAACTTACACTGTAACGGATAGACCTCCCTTTGAAGTTAGAATATGTTTTCCCAAAAAATATTTTCTTTTGAAATAAAATCATATTACACTGAGGAAATCACGGGAGGAAATCACTTAACTACAAAAGATCCACCATTACGAGTTTAATACTATTTAAAGGTTCTTCCAAAGGAAGAGATGCCGTATAACATACTAATAATAACTCCTATGACGTTGGGTATGGGGAATATCTTATTCATTGAATGATCAACCAAATTTGGCAACTAACGCAATTAATATCATTATTGTTTTTACACTTATTACTCTTAAACAATGCTAAATGCTCAAAATATGTATATTTCACCCAATTTATCGCAGTTGGATGAAATAACGTAAGCCTTGAAAGTAACCGTCGATTTCGACGGGTTTCACCTAGTAATTTATATTACTTTTATATTTTTTCGTAGCTTTCCGTCTTATCACCATCTGCAAGATTTAGTTTTTCTTGTGTACCCATCAGCTGTTTGACAAGATAGACAGGACCACCATATGTATGTTATGATGACGTAAATAGATGATTACACACACTTAATCACTATTTAGAGGGAGGGGTGAGGGAAGGGAAATCCCAGTTTTGATCCGGAAACAAATAAATGCCTGAAGGTGTTGAGGTTTAGTCAAGTCATTTAACCCATCTATACTATTATAAAAAAGAGGTGGTGTCTGTGTGTATGGGAAAAGTAAACGCGAAAACTACTGGTCGGATCGGGCTGAAATTCGGCATGATGATAGCTCATATTCCCGATTAACATATAGGCATATTTTTATCCCAAAAATCCTTCCGGGCTCCGCCCCAGTGGCTCTGGAGCAAAGGTTCCCATGTTAACCTTATGAGAAATGGAATTAATGAATCTTAACAGCTGTTTCAATTAAACAAGTTGGTTCTGTTCTATGATTTTCAATAGCATTAAAGTTACAAGGATTACCAACAGGGTGCAGCACTAGCATTATTTCTTTTACATTTATGACAACAGCTAATTTGCAACCAAAAGGTGAGTGAGCGTAGCGAACGAACTTCAACCTGGAGGGGAGTGAGCGTAGCGAACGAGCTAACCTGAAGGCAAGTGAGCGTAGCGAACGAGCTAACCTGAAGGAAAGTGAGCGCAGCGAACGAGCTCCAACCTAAAGGTGAGTGAGCGTAGCGAACGAACTTCAAAAAGAACCGAAATTTCTTAAACCATGTCCTCACTCATAACTGCTATAAGCATTTGATACTTATATGCCAACCCCGTACGAAGGACGGGTACTCTGCTAGTTGAACATAATAATAATAATATACCAACATAATAACATAATAATTTAACAATTCCTAACATATTATTTTTTACAGAAAACGTTAACCATCATTTTTTAGAGCCGTCTAAGCCGTTAACCAGAATGTTACCGTATAAATAGAAAAATTACCATATTACCCTTTAGGCCTATACAACATTTTAACTTGGGTTCCACATACAATCTTTCCATAGACAGTACAATACTTAAATCAAAATAAGAAGGTTACAATACCAGCAGACTGCCTATAGTGGTCCTGGAACTTCCAACAGGATTACGCGTTTCGGTATATTGTTATACCATCATCAGATCCTTTTTACAAAACTTGAAGTTTTTCGACTCATGATGTCACGTCAGAGGAAAGAAGTACAGTACTTAATGCAATAAGAGTTCTCTCTGAAACATGTTTTCCTATTCAACCGACTTATTTTTACTATTGAAGTATAATTTTAAATCTTATAATCGAGCTCATGTGCGAAAATTAGGACTTCGCCTCCTAGCCTTGTACATTTATGCAGAAGGTTCACTGACCAACTTGCTTTATAATGGTTTTCAACCTGAATTGTAAATTATTTTATTTTAGCTTCAGCTTATTTTACTTTCAGTTTAGTTTTTAACTAATTGTCAAATTATAGTAAACAAGAAACGAATCATTTGATCAGGACGTATTTCAAAAAGGCTACATTTATAGTTAGTTTTATTTCAAGTTTATTCTTAGTTTTAGTCTGATTGAGATAGGTAAATGGCAAACTTATAGATCTAATATCAACATACTGTATTTAGGTATTTTAAATTACAATAGTACTTTCGATCTATGTTTTAACAAATATTCATAACGAGTATTTTTATTTGCATATGATGATGATTTATTGATTGTTAGACATTTTTCAGCCGTGAAGTAAGTAATCTTTGAAAAATAAATGAATATTCGTAATGCCTCGGAAGAGTTGTGAACCATATCAAAATGCACAATGTTTTGCGCACGGGTGCCCTCGTTTGAATCAACAACTCTAGCTTCTCGTTGTTTATAGCAGTGTTTTTCGAATGCAGCCTGTGAATACATCTTTGACTATTGATTCAATTTATACATTAAGCTACGGCGTAGGTATAAATAATAATGTAAACTTGCTTATCATTTATTTTATATTTTTAATAAATTAATTCACCA